GATTTTTTTTTGTAATACAATTGAAAAAAATCTTCAAGCTACCAGAATCCGTCCCAGGTGCTCCCCTTCCGTGCATTGGCTGGCACTACCTAGCCAATGCAGTCCTGAAATGGGCAAAGTCTAAGCGCCCTCTAGTGACAACACCATGTTCTAGCATAAAACCAACCAGCATCTTATTCAGAGCTGAGCAAGCCCCTCAAATAAACCAGGTGTTCTCTTCTTGCTGCTCTCGGTCTGGAGGAGGAAAACTCTACCAACGTGGGCATCCAGAGAAATGTTCAGTCACTTTGCTCCCCGGACACAGGCAGAGGTCTCAGCTTTGCATGAGTCCTGTGAAAAGTTGCAGACCTAAGGCACGAACAGTGTGGCTAAGAGAGACACTTGCTCCATGCATTTCATTTCAGCTAGTAGGCCGAGGAACAAGATCCAACACTGGAAAGCTCCTATTCTCAAATTCCATTTCTTGGCTTTCCAACCTCAGTAAAAACATTCGTCTCCAATGCGTTTCCCCAGAGAAAGCCAAGAACAGCCATCTCTGCGCTGTGCTGTCTCCAGGCATGTCCATGCGCTGGCTGCCAAACCCTCTGAGAGCTCCTCATTGCTAATCGCTGCTCCCCTGGCACTCAGAGCTGCACAGCCAAGACAAGAAGAGCTATTTCCCCCTGGATCTGCACTTCAGAGGGAAACAGGGACTTACTGGACCTTTGGGGGTGCTTAATGCATGCAGGTTCCAAGAGCATCCTGGTTCTCTCCAAGGTTACCGAGAAGCTCCTTAAATCAAGACACTGAGATTCTGTATTGAAACACATTAACCATGGGCTTTATTGATCATGTCTGCCCTGCAGGGGAGCCCACAGCATTCCCAAAGTCCTGTCCCAGCATGCAGTGGCTCCATGGGATAGAAAAGCCGGGGCACATTCTCTTGGGTCAGTCTAGTCCAGGGGTCGGAAGTGGTGTGCCAGGTCTTCATTTATTCACTCTGATTTAAGGTTTTGCGTACCAGGAATACATTTTAACGTTTTTAGAAGGTCTCTTGCTATAAGTCTATAATATAGAACTAAACTATTGTTGTATGTAAAGTAAATAAGGTTTTTAAAATGTTTAAGAAGCTTCATTTAAAATTAAATTACAATGCAGAGCCCCCCGGACTGGTGGCCAGGACCCGGGCAGTGTGAGTGCCACTGAAAATCAGCTCGCGTGCCGCCTTTGGCATGCGTGCCATAGGTTGCCTACCCCTGGTCTAGTCTATAATCCAAAGTCCTACTCAGGAACATGCAGGATCTCTCCCCTGGTTCATCACTCTCACCTAAATTCAGTGGCCTCTGTCTGCTGCTTTGCCTGCTCCAAAGCTCCCTACTGGAACAGAAGACCATAATGGCTCACGCACTGCATCTGTACTTCATAGGAGATAACATGGGGCTAGGACATACTCCGCTTATTTGCCAAGTCGTGCTGGGAGGTGAAACAAGTGATCTCCTTCAGGGAGCCGGCTTGCTGCTGTGGTTAACCACTCAAGCAAGCAGCCAGAAGTCAGCTATTGCAAAACATTTTCCAACATCCATCCGCCTCAACACCTGTACGTACATCCCGGCTGGTCTGGAATGATAAGCCACCAACTGTACAAAAGCCCTCCCCCCCGGCCAGTCATTTTCCCCCCCAGAAGCCAAAGGATTGTGCAGTGAGGGGTTCTTTTTGCAAGGCCAGCTGTGCCCCCCCCCATAGCAGACATGTGGTTCCTGTCTGCCAAAGCACGTGCTGCTCAGAAGCAAGCAAGCAGAATGCTGGCAGATTCAGCCACTGATTAACGGTGCCCGTGGTGGGAAGTCGGTGCCCAGGCGGGTTCCTGGAAGGGGCAGTTTCCTGGGTGCCGTTGTGCTCAGAAGAGTGAGACTTTCCTGCACGCACTCTTGGACAGCTGCACGAACCGGGTCAGACAAAGTCAGTGTCGATCCAAACCACCACTTGGGTACCGTGCAGAAGCCATTGCTGACGTCTGTCTCTGCTGGAGGGTGCATCTGGCACACCTACCTTATATAGCAACTGGGCCCCCACCCTGTTCTCCTCTGGAATTTCACTGCTCCCTGCATGGCCTGCCTGCTAGCCAGGCTGAGGAGCAGTTATTGTCCCAGCAAGGCTCTCCCCTCCCTTCGAACACAGGGCCCCAAACCTGCCCCTGCGGAGTTAACCTGGCACACGGCACCAGGGCTGCAAAACTTCCCTTGCGAGAGAGAGAAGCCAGCGTGAGTCCATCAGGAACGGTCTCAGGTGTCTCTCTGGGCTTGTGCCTCTCAGAATTCCCCCTCCAAGAATCACTGCTCCCACCTCACGGGGCGCTGCGCCAATACACAACACACAGCTGGGGAGCGTGGCCAGTTCGGTGCCGGGCAGGTCGCCACCTGCGGCCTGGCTCTGAGCCATGCACCGCGTTAGGAGACGATCCTTGTTAGAGGAATTGGCATCGGATACGCCCCGGTGGCTGGCACGCAGCAGCGGCATAATCTCAGAGGAGCTCTCTGTACCCAGGGCTTGTGATGGGCCAGGTGGTAACCCAGGCCCATATCCTGGGGAAGAGGCTCTAGAAAGGAGGGGTGGGGCGGGAATGGAGGCCCAGGAGCAGCAGGGGACGGGACACACCTTGACTGGCCTTTAGAGCGGCCCAGCTAACCCTGCTGCATGCCTGGGAAAGCGCAGGGATACAGCAGAGCCTGTGCACGGGTGGGGATGGCCCGAAAGAGCAGGGGAGGATGGCACCCCGGAGAGGCGGTCAGCCAGCGGGACAGCTCTTGTGCGGATGGGTGAGCTAGGAACCAGGCTGTCCCTCTGGAGAGCTCTAGATGTCACTGTTGCCTTCTCAGCCAAGCTGCTCACTTTCCATTTGCTGCAGCCCTGGGCGACAGCTCCCCTATTTCGGGCGGGGGAGTATTCTAATGCCCGCAGGATGGAGATTTAATCATCTCCTCCGTCAGCTGCTGGGGCAGGCAGGTGACATGGGCTCCTCGTACTGTTATTGATCGCCGCAAGCCCTTGCTCCACGATCAAGGCAGAGGACGGACTAGCATGGAGTGTTTAATCTGGTTTGCAGTGGATGCGGTGCTTGTAAAGAAACCTGATTTGGATCAGCTGAAGCTCCCTGGTGAGGGAGGGGCACGTCCTGGAGCGGACGTGGAGCTGCTAGAGAAAGCCATTTGCAGTTGCACAACCACCATGAGTTGCATTTGTCCTGCGAAACCCCAACCTATTCTTGAGTGCCAGCTACCAGCACCTTCTCTATTAGCTATTTACCCGTACAGTACAAAGCACTCCTGTAACAGGAAGCGCCGTTATCTCAGTTTTACAGATGGAGGAAACTGAGGCAGAGAGAGATGACCTGCCTTGCTCAGTGTCACACACAGCCAGGAATTGAACCCAGATTGTCTGATTCCTAGTCCAGCATCTTAACCACCAGCCCATCCTTTTGTCTGGAATCAAGGCCTACAGCAGGCGGACCAGCTTGGTCGGAAGAGGCAGCAGCCCAGCTCTTAAGCCAAGCAGCAGCAGCAGTTTGGCGGCTGCCCAAAGCATTCGCCCACAGCTGAGTTAGCACATGCTTGTTCCCAGCCTTGCTCCTGCCTTGTCTCACTCCAGGTAACCCGGCCTCTGACTCCATCTCTGACCCCGGGCTCCAATCCCACTCTACCGACTCCTGCTCCACCCAAGAGGCCGCCCGCCCGGACCATTGGCGAGTTGCCGCAGAGAGGCCAGATGGAGTTCACCGCTCGGCACGGACATCTGCTGCTCTGTTGGAGAATCCACCCTCCCTCCCATTTTCTCCCTAGCCGCTGCAAGTGCCGGTGAGCTAGTGGTGAAGGCAGAAATGTAATGGGCAGGCTTACAAGCTTCCTGAAGCTAAAGCAGGCCTGCTCCTGCTGATGGTGAAACAGAGAGGATGCCACACCGAGCGGGTCAAAAAAGAGCCACATGCAGCTCAGCACAGATGAGGCAGGGAGGGGCTCAGCAGTTTGCCGAGTTGGGCCCTAACGAACCACAAACTCCTGGGACTTTCCTGTGCAAAGAACCATTTCCTTCCCTGGGTCTGATCAGATAGGGCTCAGTGAGTCACTGCTCGACGGAGCTAGGAGGCCCCCCGGAATATTTATTTCAACAGCGGCGAACTCAGTACATGGGGCATAAAAATGCATTTACCACAAGCCTTCAATTTCATTGTGAATAGCACAGTACAGCCCCCAGGGCAAAGGGCTCATCACAAGAGAAGATGCAGCAAACAGTAACTGTCCTCTGGCCTGTGCCTTCCTGTAAGAAACGCACACCCAGTGTCACCACGAAGCCAGCTGTTTGGAGACCACGCGGCTGAGACACATTACAAAGCCTGGAACCTAAAGCCCCATGACTTGGACAGTCAAGAGAGGAATGGGGTCAGAGAACCACCACCCAACATTTCCCTCCCAGTGCGGGGTGCTGGGAACAGTACGTGCCTGTGTTTGAGACCTACACTTACCGCCAGCGGTAGTTCAGCGGTGGGGTGCCCACAGCCTGTCACGCAGCACTGGGGAGGGAACGGGCTCTGAAGAGTGAGCCGGGGGGGTGACGTCGCCCAGGGCTGTCTCTGAGCAGCCCGCCCTGCCAGTCCCCTCTGGGTGGTGGCATGTGAGCCCAGGGCCATGACCCCTGAAGAGGTGTCAGGGGTGTGACCACCCAGACTTTCCCAGATTGCTGAATGGGAGGTGGGTCCCTGTACAGAAGGGTTGAGAGCCACTGTCTTAAAGGGCCCAGGCCATGCCAGAAGGTGTTCACAGAAGAGACTTAACCACAGACAGGTACACAGAGATTTTTATGTTATTCATTTGAACAAGGAACATTAAATTGAGATTCCTTCACCCATTTAAGTGCAAAATAGTAACATGCCCCTTGTACATTAGTATAAATTAAAGCAGAGTTCCCAGTTGTAACACTGTCTGGACCAGTTCCTCAGCTGGGGTAACTCCATCGGCTTCCCAGGAGCTGTCTGATTCACGCCAGCTAAGGATCTGGCCCTTGCGTATAGCATCAAAAGCAGCAGGCACAGGTGAAGTCAAGAGGGCAGAACAGCAGTTTCAAAATCCCCAAGCCAGGTGGAAAAACCAACCAGGGTCACCCGGACCCCCATTCCATATGCTCAGCAGTGTCTGCTCCTGGCAAACAGCCTTCGCTGAAGGCTCTCTCTTGCCAGATGCCAAGTGCCTTTTGGGGTTGAGGTTGCTCAGCGGCTCTCAGGGCTGGGCCCTGTCATGGCTAAATACAGTACGTCCCGTACTCACGCAACACAGACGGAGGCAACCTTAAGCCTAGTTAGATGGCCACCTAGGACACTGCACCCAAGAGATGTCGGGATGGATAGGGTCACTCCAGTGCCAGGAGGGGGCTGGATGGCCCAGGAAATGAGAATCGGAGAACCCCTGGACAGGTGGCGAGGTGTCTAATGGTCCGGCAGGAAGCTGCTCACAGTCAGGTTGTCTCCTTCGGTCTCCGAGCTGTTGTCCGTGGGCATCTTCATCCTCTTTACCTTGCTGGGCTTCTCCCCATTGGCCACCGGCTCGCTGTCGGGCAGCAGGGCGGAGATACACACCATCTCAGTGTTGTTGTGCCGGCGCACCCGGCAGACACGCTTCTGGCGCCACAGTAGGGTGGCGAGGACGGCGGTGCAGATGATGAAGATGGCAGCCACAAGAGCTAGGATGAAGATGGCCAGCAAACACTTCCCCACCAGGGTATTTGTGTGAATGGGCAGCTCCTGCAAGGGGACTTTCGCTGCGACAGAGCCACCCGCTGTGGGCCTCGTGTGAGGAGAATGGGTCTTTCCCACCTTGGAGAGGCCAGGCCTCCAACTGGCCAACTCCTTCACAAGCAGGACTCCGTCAGGGGACTCCGTCCGAGATTCAGGTGGCGAAGTAGCTGAGCTCTCCCCCAGCCCCTTCGCGCCCATTGGCCTGACAGAGGAGCCATGTTCCATACTCTCTGTGCTGCTCACAAGGATTTCTTCTATCCTAGGGACTGCCGCTTCTGAGGAGACATGGCTGCTGCCCTGAGTTGGGGCTGCCTTGGCTGAGGTATCAAGATGGTTGCCCGCTGTAACTTTGGCCACTTCTGTGGAGACGTTGTCAGAGCTGTTAGCAGACAATGGCTCTGCTGTAGCGGTAGAATCATCATATTTGTTTTCTTGGGACGTACTTTCGTCTAGCAGTTCAAGAGCTGGAGAGGACTCGGCTTCTTCCGTGGGATACTCCGAAGAAGTCATGGAGAATGCGTTGTGGTGGCTGGTGGTGGTAGTGGTCTCTTCAGCAGAATGATTGGAAGACTTCACCTCAGCTTCCCTCTTCTCACGGATAGACATGGGGAAGTCAACGCTCCCAGCCCCTGCTGTGTCCCACACCCACTGGCCCCGCTGAGAGCCCTCAGCCGCAGGAAGCCCGCCGGCTGCCGAGCTTTCTCGAACTGTATCATCTTGGCCACTCAGCTGGATGGCTGGCAGCTTGTAAGCAGAGGCCTGGAGCAGGCTCAAAAATAGCAGCAGCAGAGAGGCCCAGATTGGAACCATTTGACCTAGGAGGAGAAAACAAAGAGATTAAATTAATGGTAAAAAAGAAAAAGCTGAGGAGGTAACTGCAGGCGTCAGAGAAGTTGATAAAACATCCGAGTAGAGATGAGCTCAAAATGCAAAATTAGGTCCCAACATTTGTGAGGATTCAGCTGCGCATTTCCATTCTCTGTCTCACCAACGCTAACTGGGTGTGTCCAATGGCAACACTGCAGGCTGAAAGTGTCACTACATCCGAAGGCACTCGCTGCCTCTTCTCCCCACCTCACGCCTTCGCAGCCTAATTACCCCTTTGTTGCTTCCAGCATGTGCAAGTTGTTAGGAGGAGGAGGAGAATTACAGTGGCACTTAGGAACCACAACCCTGGACGAAGACCCCCCTGCGCTAGGTGCTGTCCAGATAAAGAACGACACCCGTCTCCGCCCCAGGGAGCGTACACTCTCAGGGCGGGGGAGACAACAAACAGTGTTTGGCTGCAGAATGGAGTCTCAGCCCATGGGCTCCAGAAAGCCGTCCGTGTCACTCCCGGGGTACTAGGTGGCACGGAGAACTGCTCCAGGCAGCTCCGCCGGAGGCGTGTTTGCTACCAATGACTATTTCACATGACAGAGCGGGATCGAGACCTCTCCCTAAGCTAGAGCGACCAGAGAGCTGTTAGCAAACAGTTAAGTCTGCCTGACTGCCGCTCCAGCATGCCACCTGGAGACCGCCACCTTCAGCCTCCTAACAAGCGTGGGCCTTCAGTTTGCAGGTATATGCAGAAGGTAGCCAGGGTACGTTAACCATGTGCCAGTCTCTGTAGGGCTCCTCCCTCCCTCCAACTATACTATGGAGCAGTGGTTCTCAAACTTATTTGATTGTGCCCCCTTTCTGTGTGTCTGTGGTAGTTTATGCCTCCGCCTCGAGTGCCCGGCCAGCAGCCACCACTCTCCAGCCACAGAGCGGAGAAGCAGCACCTGCCAGCCGGGCACCCAGCTCTGAAGGCAGCGCCGCCGCCGCCAGCAGTAGTAAGGGTGACATGGTATGGCATTGCCATCCTTACTTCTGCGCTGCTGCTGGCGGCGGCACTGCCTTCAGAGCTGGGCGCCCGGCCAGCAGCTGCCGCTCTTCAGCCACCCAGCTTTCATGGCTGTAAGAGCATGAATGTGCGCAGTCAGTCTTTCCCCCCCCAAGGCTTCTCATGCCCTGCCAGAATACATTCTGCGCCCCCCAGTTGGAGTACCTCTGCTATAGAGAATGGGCTTCTCCATCGGGGAGCCATGCCAGAGAGAACACTGCCCAGTTGTCTGATTGGTAGCAAATGAAACTGACCAAAACCCCAAAGACTCTGGCTACTGATGGAAACAGGTTACACTTGCATTTTAAATGAATGGATTGTATCATCCGCCACTCCATGAGGGGCCCCCTCCTTGGTGAGGTTTTGCCTCATTAGCAGCTGGGAAATAAAAACCTTAATGCTCCCCCCCGCGATGGCTTTCAAAAATCTGGGATATTTTACCCCCAGGGAAAACCGATGAGCCTTAAGCGGGACTCGTACACCAGCGACCTGTGCCCAGTCACGGGTCACTTCCATGACTTCTGTTGCTGCTCAGAGCCGGAGGCGGGGAGGCAAAGCTTCTCCATTTGATAGGCCCTAGGAGCCCAGTCGAGGATCGGGGCCCCCATGGTACTAGGTGTTCTATGCATTACGAAGAGATGGGTCTTGCCTCACAGAGCTTCCTGGCTGCCACCTGACCCACAAAAACCAGGGGAGAGGAGTGGGGCGCCCAAGGGAGCCGTGCTGCAGCCACAGTCAGTTTCCCTTCACCCTTCTGCACAGCCATTGCCAAGTGCCCTGGGGATTTGGCGGAGGACAGTGGAATGACCCCATGGGGTCCTATGGGGAGCTCGTGTCCTGCCAACTTCTTCAGAACTCCTCCCGATTTCAATTCCATGCCCCCCACTGGCTCTGTGGGGTGGGTGCGTTGTCCCCTCCCCGCAGCACTGACCCATGGCGTTGCCTCTTTGCTCTTACACCCATGCACGAGTCTCTTGGATTCGTGCAATGTATAGTGTTGTGGATGGCGGCTCTCAGGCATGGAGGGATTTGCTCCCATGTCAGCTACCCGTGCACCTGCACTGATCCAAGCCGCTAGCAGAGGAAACCACTACACTATCAGCTACAATTGGCTCCAGTGCCACAAACCCTGTTTCAAAACAGGAATCAGCTCCGCCCATGGAAACTGCAGATAAAAGCAATGCACTGGCCTGGGTTTGCATGCGTCCTGTTTGGCAGCATCCCTCTTCCTCCCCCCTCCGCCCCATAGGAGTTTTATGACATGTGGAGGGGTGCACAGATTTCATTGCAGCCATTCTATGGAGTGGATCTGCCCCACACACACACCCCTCCTCTCGCTGCTGCAGGGTTGCTTTCAGGACCCAATTATGAGCGTTCTGGTACCAGTGCAACTAACTGGGGAGCAGTCATTAGGCCAAACCCCCTGTACAGACAAAGCTTAATTCAAGTGCTGTGGAAAGAGAGTTAATGGAAAACCAGGGGAGGGGGAAGGGTTCTCTAGCATGGCTAGTGAGATCACTGCCTTCGAGGCCAAATAATTGGATTATTTTGAGTCCAAATGGCTGTTATTCCTGAGTGGTTTTAAATGTCCCTTTCAGATGTCATTAATTTAATTTACAGGCTAATTACCTTACAAGGATTTCCTTCCCAGAGAGAGAAGGTAGCTATGACGGAGAGCAGATAACATCTCTGCTGGGGAGCCGGAGAAAGTTTGCAAGTAAGAAAATGCACTTTAAGGAAGTAGAATCTCAAACCAGCTCAAAAAATAACTCTGTAAAAGCTCTGGAGTCCTGTTAACTCACGAGTGGCCGTGTTAAAAGGGCTAGATGTAACACAATAGCCTGCACTGCTGTAGCACTGGCATTCCAGGTAGCTCCCGAAGCACTCAAACTGCATTATATAGATATATATAACCTCACGTCACCACTGAAATGCAGCCTCCTCTGGGGCAGAACACAGCGATTTTGTAAAAGATGCACTGCAGCATTTTGCGGGAAATGACGACGCTCGCATCCAAGTGAAGTTATAGGGGGATTGAGGTTAACAGGCTGTAATTACCCAAGGAGGAATTTGGTCTGGACAGCAGGTTACTACTGTAGTCTTATGAAAAGTGCCCTTTTGAAGCACCCCAATTGTCAGGTCACTTTACACCTCAACAGAAAGATGGCTCTTTCAGCAGCCCCTGCCACCATGCACAGTTCACTGTCATCTCAGGGAGAAAACGCTCTCCCACCTACTGATCCTCCAGCCAGGGCCGGCGCAACCCACTAGGTGACCTAGGCGGTCGCCTAGGGCACTGTGATTTGGGGGGCGACGACCGCGGCAGTATTTCCACGGCGGGACCTTCCGCCGCCTCTGTGGGGGAGCGGCAGAAAAGCTGGTGGCACTCCTGCCTCCAGCACCCTAAATCCTCCTGCAGATGACACCCGTCTCATTCTCATGGTTTAGGTGCAGTTTGTTTGCTCTTGATCCTCAGCAGCAATTTGACTTGCAATATTCAAGCAAAGACCCAACTGCAGAGTTCACACACTGTCCATCGCCCTGGAAGGCTGTGGGCAGAGAGGGAAGCCATGCGCCACTGCCTTCCAAATGACTGCGCAATTTGGGGGACATTTCTAGAGGGACTGAGCAAGACAGCAGCCCAGCAAGGAGCCTGGGTGTGTGTTTGGGTCTCTAGAGCAGCTCCACTCAGAGATAGAGAGAAAATGTTTTCAGGATGGGCAGGAAGATGAGCAAACCACAGAGACGATGTTTATACAACAGCAAACACACCCAGAGCCAGGTTTCAGATGTAAACAGCAGCTAGGCTAGGGTGAAGGAGGAAACCATCAGCTCTGCCTTGGAACCAAGGGTCAGCACTCCACCCGCTTTGGGTCGGGGCGTCCCCGCTTGACACAAACCTGACCCCGGTTTTGAGCGCTCCACCGTGGGTTTGGTGCTCCGGAGCAGATCTCAGCAGCAAGAAGCCTGGTCTATTTGTGCTGCTGGGAGCTACCACTGGGAACTTCTGCTGGAGATTCTCTAGGGCAAACAAGAGTCCAGGACCAAGACGGGGTGCACTGCACTATGGTTCCACATATTGTGACAGGACAGAGGTCTTGAGGCTGATCTCTCTCTCTCTCCTTCACACCAGGGGCAATCAGGAGTAACTCCTGGGGTTACCCAGCATGACCCAGGCCTGTTGTCAGAGAGGTTATTCTCACACCAGGACAGGCAGCCAAATGCCGGGAGGTGAAAGGTTTGCAACACGATGGATAAAATCCATGCTTTTTAAAATAAAATAATCAGAGAAGCTTTTTATTTATTTAAAATATCCTTTTATTAAATATTTTTTTCCTTTTTAAAACTAAACCCATGTAAATTAAATTTGAAATTATGAAAACCCGTATTAGGGCCGAAATTGACTATAATCTATTAAAATAATGTAAATTAAATAATTAATAATCAAGCAGTACATGTTTGCTGCCAAAGTTTTAAAGAAAGTCAAACTCCTGAACTGGTGCATGTCACCAACTAAGCACCTGGAACCAGAGTTCGTTGAAGTGCTAAAGCAGCTTTTGACAGCAGTAATCTCTTCTGCAGGTTCAGAGAGAAACTTCCTTCATTTCAGTTTACTCAGTTCAATGACCAGTTCATTTGAAGTTGAGAAACTGATTGGGAGTTGAAAGAGCAGAAAAGCTTGTTTTCTACTTCCAATCTATGAATAAAAACGAAGCATGAGAGGATAAGATCTACTAGTTCTAAAATCTTGAAGGGAGTGGTGACCAGAAATAATTAGTTCAATTTATTAACTACAGATAATAGTTCCTATGTTTAATAAATCATTTCGTTTTAAGTGCAAAAGATGTTTGAGAAATGTACTTTTCTTCTTATGTATCAAGCACATTTAATGTAGTTTTATTTAAAAACAATTTTTAAAATGCTGGTTTTGTGCATTTTTAAT